TTACCTAATGTAACTTAAGTTCTACGAATAGGTGCGTAGTCCCTTAGGACTAGTGGGATATCACTTGTGACCCCCAGGTCACACGCCAGAGAGATCAAAATAATTTGCTCCAATCACCAGCCACCATCCTCTATAAATGCCCCTGCACACAGCCGCACCCCCTCTTGAACTCTGCCAAGCCGGGCTGGCCTGATGGGCTCGTAGCTAAGGGACTACGCACCTATTCGTAGAACTTAAGTTACATTAGGTAACTATTAATTCTACGTCATGGTGCTACGTCCCTTAGGACTTCGCTAGTGGGACACAACGCGGAGGCCGTAGGAACATGTACTCCCAGCAGGCCAGCGAAGGGTGATTGGAGCTCCGCCCGAGCAAGACCCTCACACCGTGAGAGGACTCAGGGCAGAAGAAACAAGCGTGTTACAGGGCCACTCCTACCAAGGATGCCCCCACGTAACACAGATCGTAGGTCATCCGTAGTCCCAGGACGCCTCTCCCAAGAGCTCCTGACGTGGACTACCAGACCGACCAAACACACATATATGTACCGCACCTGTAGGATGCCTCTCCCAAGAGCTCCTGAACCAGGGCGGAAAGACACTGAAGGCACCCTCAGAGGAGGGACCTAACGGTCTAACTCAGTCCGCTGCACTCAGCACGGAATGGGCCACCGACCGGTCCGACACATCCAAAAGATAAGACCGGACGAAAGAGGAGGACGACGCCCAAGAAGCCGCACGACAGACGTCCTCGACCGACGCCCCCCTGAGAAGGGCCGTAGAGGCCGCCATCCCACGCGTGGAATGCGACCTGAAGCCCACCGGGGGGGCCAGACCCTGCGTCTGATACGCCCGCCGCACAACCGTGGCGACCCAGTGCGCCAGCCGCTGAGCCGACAGCGGGGCGCCCCTGTTCTTGGGGCCCAGACACACAAACAGCTGACCACCCAACCTGAATGACGACGTCATGGCCAGGTAATGCCTCAGCATTCTGACAGGACACAGAAGGTGCCGCCGCTCCTCCTCGGGGGAGGCATGCGGTGGCGGATAGAAAGCCCTAATCCTGATGACTCTCGACCTAAAGGCCGACGTGATGACCTTGGGGAGAAAAGCCGGATTGGGCCACAATTCCACCATGCCGTCGCCCTCTCCAAAGGACATGCAAGACGCATGGACAGAGAGCGCACACAAATTGCCCGCCCTCTTAGCAGACGCCAACGCCAACAAGAGGGCCGTCTTAAAAGCGACACACTCGCTTCCGCCGCCGGTTCAAAAGGCGGACCCGACAGCCCCCTAAGGACCACCCTGAGGTCCCAAACCGGGGGCGTTCTCTGGAGCGGGGGCCTCCTTCTGCGCCCCCCCGGCAGAAAACGTTTAACCAACGGATGAGAGCGGGCTGTGAACCCCCCGAATCCGTCGTGACCCGAAGTAATGGCTGCCGCGAACACCGCCAAGGTGGCGACAGCCCTCCCCTTGTCAAAGAGCTCCTGTAGGAATCCCAGGACCCCCTCCAGCGGGCGACGCCTGGGATCCCAGGAACGGGAACCGCACCAGACACTGAAGAGCCTCCACCTTGTGGCGTAGGCCCTCACAGTGGACGGCGCCCTCGCCCCCTGAATGGTCTCCACCACCGCAGGGGGAAGACCCAGGTCTACGAGGTTCCGCCTCTCAGCCTCCAAACCCAGAGCCTGCGGCCGATTATCGGGCGTGAAAACAGGGCTCCTCCCCCCTGGACTAGAGCCCCCGGCTCGTCCGGGAGGGCCCAGGGCTCCATCACCGCCATGCCCCTCAGGAAGGGGAACCACCGGGCATGCGGACTGTCCGGAGCCACCAGGATCACCGACCTCCTCTCCTGTTCGATCCTCCGCAGCAGGACCGGCAGGAGACGCACCGGTGGGAAAGCGTACAGCAGGCCGCCTGGCCAGGGATAATGAGCCAGAGCGTCCACGCCTAAGGGCGGCTCGTCCGCGGCCCTTAAGGCGAACCAGGACGGGCACTGTGCGTTCTCTGCACTGGCGAAAAGGTCGACCACTGGACGGCCGAACCTCCGCCAGATCTCCGCAGCTACCCGCGGTGCCAGGCCCCACTCGTCCTGGAGCGGGCCCCCCCTGGACATCCTGTCGGCCCCCACGTTCCGGACCCCTGGGACGTGGCGCGCCCTGAGAGACAGGAGGTGAAGCGCCGCCCACAGCAGCGTCACCGTCGCCATGCGATGGAGAGCGGGGGACCTGGTGCCCCCCTGCCTGTTCAGATATGAGACCACTGTGGTGTTGTCTGAGCGCACCATCACGTGTCTCCCCTGCAGCTGAGGAGCAAAGTGCAGCAGTACTCTGTGCACTGCCTCCATCTCCAGCAGGTTGATGTGACGGGTTGAGTCCGACCAGCAGCCTCCTACAGAGCTCTGGCCGAGGACCCTGCCCCATCCTTCGAGCGACGCGTCCGTGAACACCTCCACGTGAGACACGTGGCAGGTCAGTGTCACTCCGTCCCGCAATAGACCCGGAGTGAGCCAGAACCTGATGTCCGATGCTGCCACTTGGGGAACCCAGATCAGCCTCCCCCCGTCTCGGGAGGGGTGAAGCCTGAGGCGCGAGAACCACCTCTGAAAATTCCTCATGTGGAGCAGGCCTAGCCGCACCACAGCATGAGCCGCCGCCATCATTCCCAGCAGGGACCTGAGGCGCCGAGCGGGGACTCTGGGGCCCGCCAGAACCTCCCGGGTCAGACGGGTAATATTGATCCGTCTGTCCACGGACAATGCAGCACGGAATGTCACAGAGTCCAACTGCAGACCGAGATAAATCATGCGTTGAGCTGGCTGCAGCTTGCTCTTTTCCCTGTTCACCACAAAGCCCAGACGCTGTATGTGGGACAGGACCCAGTGCGTGTGGCTCACGGCCACTTCCCTGGATGATGCCAGAATTAACCAGTCGTCTATGTAGGTTAAAATTCTTACCCCCGCGCGTCTGAGCGGCTCCAGTGCTGCCTCCACGCATTTGGAAAAAGTCAGAGGCGCGAGTGCATAACCGAAGGGAAGACGGCAGTACTCGTAATTCCTCTCTCCCACCGCGAAGCGCAGAAACCTCCTGTGTTCTGGCACTATGGGCACGTGGAAGTACGCATCTGTCAGGTCTATGGATGTCATCCAGTCTCCCTCCCTGACACACTCGAGGAGCTGCTTTGTGGACAGCATCCGAAACTGCCGTTTGGAAATGCACTCGTTCAAAACGCGCAGATCCAGAATGGGACGCACCCCGTCTGACTTCTTTGGCACTAAGAAGTAAGGGGAGTACAGCCCCCTGGTGGCGTCCTGCGGGTCTACCTCCACTGCTGCGCCTCGACTCAGTAGAGAGGAGACCTCCGCTTGCAGTGCCTCTATCGATCCCCGTACCTGAGAGCGTACTGCCCGTACGCCTCGGAATGGTGGTGGCTTTCGGAAGAATTGCAGTGCGTAACCCCTGCGCAATGTTTTCTCCAGCCATATATCTGTCAACAAACCCTGCTCCCTCCAGGTGCTGTAGAAGTCTGTGAGGGGCGGAACGGGAGCTGGAACACGAGACGTCACGGCCCCGCCCTCTCCTGGTGTTCCTAGCAGGGAGGGGGGGTGGCCGAAAGGGCCGGGGGGCCCCCTGCGTCACACCGTGAGCGCCGGGGGCGGTCACGTGTTCTGCAGGCCCGACGTCATAAGTACGGGACTGCTCACCACACGTGACTCGGCTGCTGTGCCCCCCCTGGCTCTTGCCTCATGGAGGGGGGGGCGAGCCCCTGGAGTGGGAAACCCCGTGTAAGCCTTGTAGCTCAGAGATGCTAACACGCGTTCGGCCGAAGCACACACATCATTACTCACCAGATCCCTCCGCCTGACCTCTCTCTGGGAGGGCATAGCATGAACCCGTGAATCGGAGCTTGTGGCTCGCGTAGCGCACTGCACACCCTTCTCTGGGGGCTGCAGGCCTAGCGAAGCTACGTTATGTGCTCGATAAGTAACACAATCAGAATTCAGATCATTTGACATGTTACATACCCCCAAATGAGACTCAGACAGCGAGTACTGATGAACTGCCGGTCGGCCTTTATTGAAATAATTCTTCCCACCCCAACCTCCTCTACCATAGGGAGGTCGGCGGTGGGTGCGTTGGTCCCGCGAGCCTCCCGTGTGTCTGTCTGGACCCGGGGGCCTCGTCGAGGGGGGACGATAGGCCACGGAGCGTGGATATAGGCAAGGGCGCCTCCCGGGTGAACGCTCCCTGCCTCTGTCTCGGCTCCGCGCTGGTGGGCGGGCCTCGCGCCTTGGCGCTAGGTGCTGGGCTAGGCTAGCCGAGGCCTTGGCTGCGGTCTCCAGTCTAGCCACCAGGGTCTGCATGTCCGGACCGAAAAGAGACGTCTGGGAGATAGGCAGGTCCAGCAGCTGCCTCTTCTCCGCCTCTCGCAAGCCCAAGCCAGAGGTGCCTGGCCCCTACTTGAGCTGCTGCCATGGTGCGGCCGCCATCGACAGCTAGCGCCTGGCACATGCGCAGGATCGCCGTTGAAGTGGTCCTCGCCTGAGATAAGGTGTCTCCACTGAGCGCCTGGCCAGAAGAGAGCGACCTATCCAGGGCCCCCGTGATGAAAGCCATGTTGTTCGCCACAGCGACGACCTGTGCCGCATTGGCGTAACATCTGTCGTGCATCGCCAAAGACGTCCTGTCCCGCTCGGAGGGAAGGAGAGGTCTGGTGCCGGGCCACACGGATGCGGAGGGGTGCAGGGCCATGCGGACCGAATCCTCGATGTCCGGGACCCCGCCGGTCCAGGACCAGTCCTGCACGTTGCAGTACATACCGTAGCCCAAAGCGGGCCTCTTGGCCACTAGGGGCTTTGGCCACTCACGTGTCGCGTAATGGACGATCGGGTCCATCCGCGGGCACAACGTGGGCTGTGTCCTCCTCCTCCCTTGAGTGGTGGCGTAACCCGAGGTGAAGTCCTCCACCCTCTGGGTCGGTTGCGGTGGCAGAGGGGCAACCATGATGGCCGCCGCAGTGGAGTAGAGCCCAGGCATGTGGTCCAGTGGGAAGCGGTCCGGCTCCGGGTTCGACACCACCTCGTCCAGCGTGAGGAGAGAGCCGACCTCCGAGATCTCTCCGTCCTCACAGTCACCCCACTCCGCGGGCACGGGTGGAAGGTCGAGAGGGGCCCAGTCAGTCTCAGACTCCTCGTCCTGAGAGGAGTCCGGACGGGGCGCTGTAGCGGCGTGGTACGCACGCCTGCGTTCGCTCTCCTCCCTGGGGAGAGCGAGACACGAGGTGCAGGTGGCGCTCAACGCCGCATGGCCCGGGCCCAGGCACATGAAGCAGCTGGAGTGCTGGTCCGTGCGCTGGAGCCTGACTCGACACGTTGAGCAACGACGACGTCCGACGCCGGAGGGCGAAGGGGAACTCGGACGAGCATCAGAAGACATCTTTTTTCTCTGGTAATAATTGAAACTGTGTAGATCTCAATCGGCGCCAGAGTGAAAGAGGGGGTGCGGCTGTGTGCAGGGGCATTTATAGAGGATGGTGGCTGGTGATTGGAGCAAATTATTTTGATCTCTCTGGCGTGTGACCTGGGGGTCACGAGTGATATCCCACTAGCGAAGTCCTAAGGGACGTAGCACCATGACGTAGAACAAAATCTATCTAACTACTTCTTCACTCACTATACTAGTTCCTCAATAGTTTTAACATGCATGTACATTTAGCCTCACAACTTTTTAAAAGCTTTGTCGGACAGAGAGGACTGGCAATAATCTCTGCCCAAAGCATCAAATAGTGACTTAGTGAGCTCGTTCTTACAAGTATGCAAAATATAACATATTTTTTCTAATAAGATTAAGACTACATGTGGTGGTCTGCTTTGTTCATACAATTTTACTTTTACAAGACTCTTTCTGTTGGGACATTTAAGTTGCATTCCCCCTCTTTAATCCTAAAAGAATACTCCAGAACAAAGCAAGTTATGTAAGAAAGCTGAAGCCAGTGTTGCTTCTTGTCTGCATTGCTGGTGTCCTGTCCATCTCCCCTCATGTTGATCTACAGTAATAGCTTTGTGACAGTCCCGACTTATCTTTCCTCCCCAGGTCTCCATTTGCCGCTGTGGCCGACTACTCCATAACTCGTAATAATGTGATTCAGCTTTGCCTGGAGCTCACCACCATCGTGCAGCAGGTGAGAGCAGCCTCCTCACTGCGCACACAAATTGGACACTTATCTCTATAGCAAGAGTTCTATCAAAGAGCACCAGTATTACTTCACATGGTGGACGTAGAACCATTTCTATTTCACAACCAGGATCCAAGTGAAGCCAAAAATATTTGAAGTGCGTGTGACAGATTTAAATATTTGCACTATATTCCAGTTCACATCATTAGCTTTCAGATGTTCATAAAATGGTAAAATATCATATTCTAAACCTTAACCTGATGGTGACTCTTAATTACAAACATTTTCCTGTATATGATTTTACTGCTTCCACTCTTTTTCTAAAGCACTTTGAGTTGACGCATAAACTTTTGAAAAACTAATAGCAAGGAAATATATATTTTCGCAATATTTTGTCTCCGCTCGTGACAAAATATCACAATTATAGTGAGTTCCCCCCATGTGGCTTTTTAAAATAGTTTTTTCTTCCTGATTGTAGACTTCATGCTTAGAAGGTTACCTAATAATCATCTTTTATAGAGGGCCAAAGCTAGAATAATATAAAACAGTATGATGTCACCATTTTCTCTAATAGTACAGTATATGTTTTTGGATTGTTGAGTGATTGTTCATAATCCTAAATGGGGTTGTTTGATTGTATCTCCTGTAACGACAAAGAAAAAAAATAGCAAGTTGGAAGTTTTGTGTGTTTACAAAATATATATTACTTCTTGCACAGGTGGTCTAGTGAGAGCATTGATCTTAATGTTCCCTTGTTAGTGGCATCCTTTGCAACAGCTAATTGCACTAATATTCAAAAATAATTTTTAACACAAGTAATTATAATTGTGATCTAGAGCTGACAGATGCCTTAAACAGCTCCCAAATGTACATGTACTTGCCAATAGCAGAAAATCAACGAAATAATACACGTTTTAAACTAGATCCAACTCAGAAATCCTTTACACCGTTCATAGTGTTGACCTTCTACAGTCTATTTCCAGCAGAATGACCTGATGCTATAGTATTCCTTGCAATATGTATAGTAAAACAGTGATTAATAATTAACATTTCAATATAGCCGAGGCTGCAGTGGTTCATCTTATTCTCCAAGAGCAGGTTGTGTTGGCGAGCTGCTGCTGCCAGTGTGGATCCTCCAGTGAGATATGTGCTATGTATGCTCCCAACGTTCTATTTTATGTGACTAGCATGTGGTTAAAATGATATCTATAAACCATATGAGTATACAGCCACTGTTTGCGTGGGTGGAGAGGAAAATGCAAAATGCAGCTCAGAAGCATTTGTGCACAAAGATACAAACAGACCAAAAGGGTAAGATTTATGACAATTTTTAACAGTCAACAAAACAAATGTGAGGTTTTAACACAATGTTGATGGCTCATTTAAGCACTGTTATCAAAAGATTTTTGAAATCTATTTTAATCTAATCAAAATGTTACAAACAAATCTAAAAAATACATATGTTAATTTAACTTTATTCACTGTATTTATACACAAAATAATTATAAATTCAAAGGATGTATCTGTTTTAGACCTAACTCACACTATACATACCACATAATAATAATGCATATATAGTGCTTTTTCAGGATACTCAAAGATGCTTCACATGTCATTATTTCACTCCATACACAGTGGTGATACACTTCTAATGTAGCCACAGCTTCCCTGGGGCACACTGACTGAAGTGAGGCAACCAGTCGGTGCCATCGGCCCCTTCGACCACCACCAGTCATTCACACACACACCAGACTCATAAGACTTTTAAGACAATGTATGTTTTCTGTCCCTCCTTAATCATTTTTTTTATTTCTCTTAATTTTGACCCACCATTTTCCTTATATACAGTATATTTCCATTATATTTTTAGTTACAGTAACCACATTAAATAGTATAAGGCTGTCCCCAAACATCACAACTTTTTATAATATATAAAAAAAATTCACCATTCAATCAGGAAGCATTAATGTCTTTACATCCCTGTCTGTGTCTTTCACAATAAATGGCTTCAATATGCACAGTGTAATACGTGTTTGCTCCTTCCTGTGCACATGCCCCATATGGAAAAGTCAAAATATGTCACATCACATTCTAGATGAGTTTCATACAATGTGTGTATGATTAGCTCCTGAAATTGGCACTTTTTGCATATCTCTGTGTTTTATGTTGTTCATATAGAAAATGTATACAGTTGTTGTCTAATTTGCAGTTTTACAACATATATTCAATATAAAATCTGTATGTCCTATATGGATAATGTGTGTATTTTCTATTTATCATACCATAATAGAGTAATAAGGGTTTAATAGTGTAATAAGGGTGAAATAGCTGTGATTATGAGTATTCACATTACTTTTGGTACTTCTACCTTTTGTAGTATTTTCAGTACTACAAATACGTTTATATCAGGACGTTAATACAATTTGTAGAATTGAGAACAGTATTCAATACATTTTACCATCACACACTTTAGTTTCCATTGTTATGTCAGAATATAGGCCTAAAGTGAAAACATAACTCTAGATTTTGACTTGCGTTTTCTTTCAAGTGATAGTTATAAAATGCAAACAAATCTTACACAATTCTACTACCTTTTACTCTTCCATATACATTTTGATGTATAAAATATTACTTTGAGTTGGATTTGATACTCTATGATTTTCAAACAAATCTTACATTCTATTCATACAAATGTTTAAACATGGTTTTCCATGTATAATTTGGAGTATACAATCGTTTTATGGAATTTGTATGTTGTTTGACTGTCATATGAGTAATTTATACATTCCAAGCAAAACTTGGGAAACATTGAACATTAGGATTATTCTTTCTTTCTCTTGATTGCCCAGACCCCCAACCAAACAGATTGAGATCTGTCTTAACTTTACCTTAAAATGTCGCTCACATCAATGACAGTGCTGTTCAACAACATTGAACTCTAACAGTGTGGGACCCCTTTGTATAGGATGACCATTTACCTCTACAGCCATTTTTAAATACTATACAATACTTTATAGGGCTGCGCAATAAATCAAATTTAGGCAATTAATCGGCTTTTGAAAAAATCGAATTTGTGAAAAATGTGAAAATTGTGAAATCGAATGAAGGATATTCTGAGAGTTCCAGCAGCACATGAATTATACTTTCAATATCAGCACAGTCTGTGCAAGACCTTTACAATACGTATTTGGGGAAACAAAATAACAATGGTTTTGAAACTTGATTATTGAGCGGAAAGATCCAAAAATATTTTTAAGGGCAAATTTTAAAGGACAACTCACCCTCAAATCCAATAGTGTTGTCTACATATCCTGGTCATGATCTTGTCACTTTGGTGCAAATTAGTTGAAAGTTAGACTTTCTGCCTAAAACCGTCTGTGAGGCGCCATCTGCTGGCGACCTGTATTACTACATTTGAATTTTGAATCTGGCGCCAACACTGGCACAGAAGCTGGACCTGACGTCTGCAAGTTGGACCTGACCCCCGCCAAGAGCAATGTAAACGGCCCAGTCTCGTTCACGCCCCCTTTAGTCCTCCAGGCTACGCCCATTTAGAGGAAGATTTGAACAGGAAATGTGAGTAACGTAAGCTCCGAGGAGCGGGGGTGAGAACCACTTTAATGAAAATTGCTTTAAAATCGATATCGTCCAAAGCAGAAAATAAAATCGAGATTTTACTTTTTTGCCATATCGCCCAGTCCTAGTACTTTATAAACCTACAGAGTACCATACAGTTGTACATTATCCTATCCACAGATGAAAAACACGGTGTCTCTATCATAGTTGTGTGGTATTGTTGTGGATGATTCAAGTTCAAAGACACAGTTGGAGCCTTTGTTGCTTTTCCCACAGGACTGCACCGTGTTCGAGACCGAGAACAAGATCCTTCATGTGGTGAGTGCAGCTCCTCTCACAGCTCCTCACACTCGCCCAAAAATGAAGAGGTTTTATACGTGTACTAATGAATGGAACCGTCAAAGAAAATATTTGTTTCCGATGGTCTGCTGTGTCTGTGTTTCCCAAAGACATGGAGGGATTTAAAATAAGAACAATGATTCTGGAATTATATAGGGTTTTCAATGTCTAGGGTCCAGCTGTCTCATGCTTTGACTTTGAGAATATTATTTGACTATTATGTTATTTTTGTACATTTATAACCACAATAGTGTGAGGGAAGAATCAATTCCATATTCTTTTGCTCTATCCATTGCCAGATGACACATGTTCTTCCAGTGAGTCTTCCCCATGGGTTTTCTCCCAGCATTCAGGAGGCATAGAAATAATAAAAACATAATATTCTCTTAACTATTCACTGCTTAAAAAATGAATTTTGGATAACAAAAGATGGGTGTCAGGAGTTAGGAGTAGTTAAAGGAAGTGTACTCGGATTCAGATTTAGAACGATCTCTTCTGCCAGAGGGAAGAAGCTGGAACATGGCTTTTCTAGTGCCAGAGAAGTTGATTAAGAGCTCGGTTGAAGAGTCCGGGTGTATAAAGAGCCCGCAGAACTGGCAGCTCACTGCAGTTGGGAAGTACTGTATTGTATAACGCTAAAGGCAAATTAGAAATCATATGGAATCTTTCAAATGTGAATTGCAATAAAAGTGGTTGCGCGTTAATTCAAATAATGTGTGAATAATTTTACCGTATCATGTAATCCACATATATTGAATTGAGTTGCAATAATTTGACATGGGGCTGGTTGTTACATTGTCCCCAAACGGATAGGTTGACACAGATCCTTGATGAACCACTGTGTCAACAGATGGAGCTAATGTGGTTATCGGAGGCCTGTGTAAAACTGACTAATGCATAGTAACAACCGGCTAATGTGACATGATTAGCAATGAATTATGTGTGAATGACATGTTGAAGCCGATTGGGCTGTATGAACTACACATCACCACTGTGCCCTGGATTCACAGAAAAAAAAGGTTTAAACTGCTGAAAATGTATATTCAACAAAGAACAGAACTTGTATGTATTATCAGAGTATGCATCTGTCCAACCATATCAACCAATATCTATAAGTACCAGGAGAAGACGCCAACAGTTATGTAAAAATAGTATTCATCTCAATCTGGATCCACGCGAGTCATTGATTACGTCCAAAGAAAAGCCAAAAAAGTCCAAAAGAAAAGGTATAAAGGAGGATTTTCTACCGTCGGGTGGATCATCAAGACTATCGGTCCTCCCAATTGTCAATCATTTTGGTGATACGTCCTCGTCAAATAAGACTAGAGATTTTTGTTCAAAAAGTGGTGAAGGCGGTTTTTTCCTAAAATTTGAGAAAATCCTCCTATATACCTTTTACAGGAAATATTCTGATTGCATAAAACACTTTTAATGTATGGGCCAATTTAGTTTGGTCAGAGTTGGTATTTATTTATTTGTTTATTTGACAGGGACAGTGTACATAAATGAATATCATTTATGTACCAGAATGTACCAGAATTAGCCAAGGCTGTTTTTCATCCGTTGTTTGTCTGTTGACATTTAATAAGTCAACCTAAAAGCTTAGATGATTAAATAAGGAAGGACAAAACATTCGATTGGATTCACAGATGTACTTAAACAATCTCATAGTCTCTGCATTAGGCTCGTGCAGCAACCCACCTCCTGCCATTCACTGCCTTATTTTCAGTGGAGCAATCACATGTCATTGTCTCAGATTCCACCACCACCAGGGTCTCGACCTCAGGGGACTGTTTCTCTCACAGGCGCTCATTTATGAATGTGTATGGCCAAATTAGGTTGTAAATGAGGCGTATGCAACAAATTTACACTTTTCAGCATTCATCAATGGGCATTTATCAGTGGCCGTACGGTATGCACAAATTATACACCGAGTCAGTATGTGGTGAAAATTGTACAACCATCTCAACCTTCATCACAGCAGACCAAAACACGTATGAAATTCAAGATTTGGACAACAATAAACTTATTCCCACTCTGGCAAAATTATAATCTGCGTTTTCATTGAGCATCACATTTCAAAATTTGAATTTGCGCATCAGTATAACTCTAATGGAAACATGCAAACTTTGATTGAATCACAGTTCATGCTGAGGACCCTCTTCTGTTTCTTTGTTTTTAAATCTGACTTGTATGTGTATTATTGGGGCGACAGTAGCTCAGTTGGTAGAGCAGTGGCCTTTGAGCCTGGAGGTCGTGAGTTCGATTCCCACCATGGGACCTACTCCAACTGCTCCCACTGATGTCTACTGTCGTTGTGTCCTTGGGCAAGACACTTAACCCCACGTTGCCTGAAGCCCCCGCTGAAAGACCAAGGCTGTTTCACCGCTGATGGAGTAGCCATCTTCCTGTGGACTCACCCCCTGCAGAAGATCAGCGAGGGACTGGTGCTATGAGCATTGGGTGGCACCTCTCATTGCCACCCCCCTGACCCAGAAATGGACAATAAAGGGCTTGAAAATGAATGAATGAATGTGTATTATTTTCGTCTGTATGTTTGTTAAATGTGAAGTACTTTGTTATCCTGGTCTGTGAAAGGCGCTATACAAATATTCTTGACTTATGTAACAGGGATGTGTGACCCATGCATTGCTTTGTAAATCTGTGGCAGGCCCTGCGCTGCGTAGTTACGCATGGCTATTTGCTTTGCCTCATTCACCTCTTGCAAAGCAATGTATTTTTTCATTAGTTTTGTGCATAAAGCCCCATAAACGCACTGTTGGTCTTGCTCACTCAAAACTGTCTCAGGCGTGACTTTCATAAATACGCTAGTTTTGAGCGCTGCATTTATTATCAGCAGCAGTTGCGTACGCTCGGGTTGGGCGGATCTCACCCTTTCATGAATCCCACGTTGGATTTTGCGTATTTGGAATATACACCAAAAATATACACCCTTTTTTGCGCAAGTTTAATAAATGAGGGCCACAATCTCTATTCAGTTCCATCCTGCAGACATCATGCGTTATTTCTGCTGGGGCAATTAGACAAATCAGGTCTAACATTCCATGGTCAAAAATGCAATAAATCATTTAGTACCACATTATACATATTGGATCTAATAGCTTAATCATGCAGCAACAAAATATCAGTGCAAATGTAACCCACTAAACATATTTATAAAGCATCCTTGTCTTGAGTCATCCTAGATTTAACAATAATCTGCAGTATGTCTTGACCACGGATAAACAAACTTTAGGGGAAGAAAACAATATTACATATGATATAAGAAATATTGATCAAATACTTAAAACAAAGCGTATTTCAATTTCAGTAACTTTGATGATTATTACAGACCTGTGTTCGTGTTTGTGGCCAATCAAAGTCCTTGCTCCAAACTTGTATTAGGTAGATACATATGATCTGTTGTATTTGCTCCTTGCTGCCTTCTGCTGGTGAAGGCTGACACTGCACTCTCAGTGCAGGATCGCTAGAATTGAACTTAATCAATAATGTCATGGTGCGTTTGCCTCTGAAGTAAACCACTTACGAAAACAAGTAACATACTCTGAAAAGAAGAAACACAAGTTGGGGTTGTTGAAGTATAGTTCAATCTAAGATGTAAAACGTATTATTATATCCTTTCATATTTCATATCCTTCCCCATTGTTATCTTTGCTAACTACGTGCTTACATCTTCTCTCCAGTGCAAAACGCTGTCGGAGGTGTGCGAACATATTGTGTGCGTGTCTTCAGACCCGCTGGTTTCACAGTCGGCCCACCTTGAGCTCGTGCATCTCACCAACATCAAACCCTCCGAAGGCCTGGTAATGATTCCTAATTCTTTGTACAGTTTCTTCCGCCCACCTGTGAAGATTATCTTCTTTGATTCACTGCATGTTTTCTCCCTTTTTATCAAGAAACATTTCCATGAAAATCTGGCCACACACAGTCTGTGCTCTTTCATCCAGAAATGAATCCAATAGACTTGTTCACTGTGCATTTATAAAGACAAATGTAAAAATAATAAGAAATGAATTGATAGTGCCAAAAATGTTATCATAATAAATGCTTGTTTGTTTTAAGGGAATGTACATCAAGTCGACGTACGATGGTCTGCATGTCATAACAGGGACCACAGAAGCGGTAAGAAACTATTTGCCTAAGAGGCATTTAAACTGTAACCTTTACTATGTTGCTGGTAACATTGATAGTATGTAAAGCCTGGTTCACACGAGACAATTTTAAAATAAGCCCAATGCCCATCTCGGGTCGCCCGTTGCATTATGGGTAATGGAATTTATTTTGGCTACCAAACAAAGTTAAAGATGGCGGAGTTTAACGAAGTGATCGATGAGTTGGACCATTTCAACAGGTGGAAAGTGGATGATTTAAAGCGTTTTTGTAGTCGCCGTGGATTGCCTGTTACAACCAGGACTGCGTACGGCAATAGACAGAAACGAAAAGAAGAGCTGGCAGCCCTGGCATACGCGGCATCGATCCAAAAACTACCGGTAGTATTGACGAAGGAGGAGGAGAGAGATGCTGTCAAAACTGACTACCTGGCCTTGTTGACTGTTGGAGATAAACAGATTGCTGACCCCTTGACGGCAACAGACGGGTGGTTGAATGAAGTTCGGGGTTTAAAACTGTGGCCACCGTGCATGTCAGCCGATATTGCAGAATATTTGCTAAACAGGGATGAGAAATCGCTACTTCACCGGCTTCGTAATGACTACAAGGAAGGTGGGTGTGACGTTTGTTTTTATAAGTTTACAGACATGCTAATTTGCATGCTTGCAGTTTATAGAACACACAATCAATATTACAACAAATATTGCAAGTCATTAAAAAGTTGCAACTCACTTTCACATTGCTAGCTCAAAATTACTTTTAATTTAGCTCATGATTATTTCCCGAAAACTGAATATATACTAGCGGAGATTATGGTTTGCCCCGGTGACGTATGAGAAAGAATGAGAAGTAGCTATCAGTGATACAACCATCTAAAAATGAAGTAACTGACCAAGATTTAATAAAGGATAGTGCCTGTGACAATAATATGGCAGCAGAAATATTTCTGCTTTTGTTTACCAGTGGATTTCAAGTCAAAGGACTAAACCATGGCTACTTAGTATGAGGCCATCCTTAAAAACAAATCGGTGTCCTGTCCAGTGGGTAAGACCTATAAATCTAAGTAGTGAGGGAGGAATATATTTTTTTATTTATGCATTTCTTTGCATTTTAATGTAAAAAAATAAAGACAAGTTATAACTGGCCAGACTATGAGCTCTTTTTGGTAGAACCACCTACATGCATCGATTTGATATCTAGATTTACATTATTTTTTTTTTTCTCTAGGAAAGGCATTTAGTTATTTTGCTTCCCAAGAGTCGTGGATCCAAGAAGTGTTCTACCGAGACGATGCTGATCCAGACCTTTGTGTGCTGAAAGCAACATGCACACCTTCACAAAGCATAAGAGCAGTACCACACAAGTTGTGGGTGTGTTTCCAGAAGAAGACCGGGGCAATTTGCAGTGCATATTGTTCTTGTTTTGCTGGGTAAGTGTTCAACTTACATGATTTTTTCCCTAACTCCTGGTCTGTATTTTTTGGCAACTTTGAATAACTATAAATGCATACAAGTAATAAAAATAATTGTTCTAATATTTATATGTGTGTGTGTGTATTTTATGAGCAATTCTCTATTTTTTAGAATAGAAGAGAAAAACCTTATTGTCTACCATGCACAATGATGGCAGAAATTTACCTTTGGCTTGCTCACACACGGCAACATAATAAAATACATTAACAAGTTACTGTCCTAAAACCATTTCATGAGCACGATTGTTGAGTTTACATAGTGAGCCACCGATTGAGCATTAGTGAGACGTGCGACCAAGGCCATGTCATCAGCGTATTTGATCAGTGTTAAATTTTCTGTGTATTCTGTTCATTACAGTTTGGGTGCAACATGCAATCATGTAGCTGCACTGCTCTTCAAAGTGGATTATGCCTGGCAGAATGGTCTAACCACTGGTAATGTCCTCCCTTGCACTTCCCAACCCAATGTGTGGAAGGCACCTGCTCTGAAGAACCTAGAGAATGTAAAGTGCCAGGACATGCTCTTTATTAAACCACATTTCAGGAAGCCTAAATCAACCAGTTCCGCAGAAGCAACAAAGGTATCTAGGGCTCTCTTCTCAACTGTGAGGAGTACTAATGACTCTGAGAGCCCGAGTTTGGATGAGCTGACAGCAGTTTTTTACCCTGCTATCTCTTTGGCCGTTGCATTTCAGTATGCACTCCCAAATGTAAAGCCTACGTACACACCAGAAACTGATGTCAATGTTGCACATACTGTTGAGGTTGAATTAGAACATTCATTGCCACTGACCCTCCCAGAGCTTGCCAAACAATACAACTCGGCCTCTGAAATGTTTCAGCAGCTGCCAGTGTACTCTGCACAAGAAGTACATGCTCTACATGAGGCAACACGAGACCAGAGTACCTCAGAACTGTGGTTTCTGCACAGACGGGGGAGAGTCACTGCATCTAATGCACATAGTGTTTTAACCGGACACAGGACTGGGAATGCACTGGTTTCCGAATCTCTACTGGACACCATTTTGGGGGAAAAACAACTGAACCCTGACATAATCCAGGTTAAGTATGGCCGGGAAAATGAACCTGCCGCTGTGGACTGTTATGTAGCTTCCCAGAAAAAGTTCCACCAAAACATGAAAGTGGAAAAATCTGGTATTTTTATCCTGCCTGATGCATGTTTTATTGCAGCCTCACCAGACAGATTAGTGTCCTGTGACTGCTGTGGATTGGGCATTTTGGAGGTGAAGTGTCCTTATAAACAAGCTGGTAAGTCCGTCGTGGAAATGGATTTGGACTACTTAACAAATGGTAAACTGAATCCAAACCACAAGTACTTCACCCAAGTACAAGTACAAATGGGAGTGACACAGAGATTTTGGTGTGATTTTGTGATTTATCTGGGAAAGGGCATTCATATTGAAAGGATTCAGTTCAAGGAGAAGCTCTGGCATGAAGCCTTCCAGGCTTCAGAGTTCTACTTCAGACGTGTAGTGGCTCCAGCTCTAGTTACAAAAACATAAAGTTTTACATGTTCACAATCAATAACTTGTGTTGTAATCATAAATGTGGTTTCATAACAATATTCAGTACTGGGGAGTAACTAAATACTCAATTTGTATTCTAAATGCATGTAACTGTATTCTGGTAAAGTTACTCTTTCATTTGACAGTATTTGAAATAGTTACTTTCCATCAAGGGAATACATCCCAGTATCAATCATTAAATTTTAGTTACATATTGCACATTAGTAAGAAATAACTTTTAACGTTGACCTGTTTTTACTCCTAAAATTAAATGATTTAAATGCTTTCTGCCACTGTTCATACAAACACTGCACGTGTCACATGATGTTGTATCTGCTGTTCCATTGGCCAACAGAGTTAAAGAGTTCCTAATTAATGGTGCGTTTATAACAAGTGTTCCAACAATCGTAGTCTTCATTTTTGTGATTATAGGCCATATTTATGCATAAACATGACAATCAATGTGAAAGTATTCTAAAAGTATTTAAAGTATTAAGAATACAGTACTCTAATTAGACAAAGTAACGGGATACGTCACAAAATACATTTTAAGACAAGTATTCAGTAACTAAAAATAATTTCTAAGTATTCTCCCCTACACTGACAATATTACACTAATTGAACTCATGACTTTGTACAGGTTAAGTTATCCTTTAATCTTTGAGGAGACAGTGATCTGTTGTGTTATAAATGTATTTACTGGTTGAAATTTCATATGCAAATACAATGACAAGAGACAAGAAATACTTTGGCAAATATTGTTCATAAGCAATAAGTTTTGTAACATTTGTTGTAAAATAAAACATTTTGATTGTAAAGTACTACTTGCAGTGGAACAAAGATAATTGCCATTCAGACAATCAAAGGAGGGAGAAGATTACAAATAGCTGCACAGATGAGCAATATGTCATCAAACAGATATGCCATACTGATGGGAAGTGTTCTGCTGATGATTTTAAACCACTTTAATCGATTAATGGCCCGCTCAACGTGTATGTGTGTTGGCAATTTGTTTGGTTTTTGCCACATTTGTTTTGCACATTTGTTCTTTCCCTGAACTGGGTGGTGGAATTACAAGAGATGCCCTTCTGAATAGCAAGTCTTCCTGTATAGGAAAGCCACGATCAGCCATAACCGTGTCATAGGGCTCAATCAAGTCAAGAAACTTTGAATTTTGAACTATGTATCTATCTGTTGTTCTCCCTCCCCATGCCTGTGAAATGAATGAAATATGCCCATTAGGAGCTATGGCTACTAGGTATTTTAGCGTGTTACTGTGCTTGTAATCAGACCAAGTTGCAGATTGGAGTTTAAGGTCACGTGGTCTCTCCAGGAAGGTTTCGCTGCAGTCTATAATGCAGCGCAGGTTGGGGTATGAACGTGCAAGGGTTGCTGGCATCACCTGTCTGATGTGTTCTTTTCCAGGCCAGAATACTAGATTCTTCAACTCATGTGCCAGGAACCTAACCCATGTGTGCACCACTCGAGAACAACTGGAATCTGTTGTGTTAAAAATGGCAGCCAGTAACTGATTTTTCAGACCCAGTCTCAACTTCATAAGCACCATTACAAACTCTTCTTTAATTGACAATTTCCTTTTTGGTCCAGATTTTGTTGGAGTTTTCTTGTATTTCCTAATCTTACTTGCAACAATTCTTTTTGGGCCATGCCAATAACTCATACGACGGGCTTTGGGTGTCAGAAATTCCAACATATTATTGAACACTTCACGATTTTGCAAGCCAGTGTGACTCCGTACATGATGGTCTGTGTTTACTAAACTATCACACCGGTCATAGTTTTTCTTTGACTTCTGATTAATTGTCAGCATTTTAATCTTTGCAGCTAGTTGATCAAGTTCAATTTGTTTCTCAGCACATGCTTGACATGCATTGTTTGTGGTAGGCTCATATGTAGGTGCACCATCCAACTCATGGATAGGGTCACGCACTGGTTCACACTTGGACATGCACTTAGGATCATTGCACCGAGATTCAGGTGCATTCTCTTCTTGC